GCTCTAACCAGCTGAGCTAATAGGCCTGTTGATATATCCTTTGTTGTTTTACTATTTATACGCTCCATTTACGAGAGTAGAAGGCCATTGGTACATGAAATATAATTAGGAAATAACAATAAAAATTTTGTCACATAATAAAATCATACCATTAAAACCCTTTTTACTAGAAATTCTCCTGAAGCTGGCCCACTGGAGAAGATGCTCTTGTTAGGTAGGGTTTACTGCTGCTAGTAGTGCTTCGGTTGCATACTCCCCAAAAGCATGTGATGTCATCAACTCATCCCAAAAAAGCATTTGAATTAGCCCTCGTTCTTGAATTTGGTTTCAAAAAAGCCTTCAATCAACTCATACCAAAACCAAAAGCGCATCAATCTTGAAAGTTCAATTAATGTATGAACCAAATCATTTTTGCAATCTGTCCCTACCTTGGATAAAAGAAGTTGGTAGCCAAAAAGCATGTAATTAGAAGGATAACCACACTTTATAACTTTTCCCAAAAGCTGATCTTCTATGAGTTGGCTTTTACCAAAAGTTGAGGCTTATATATATCAAGAAATCCCTTTTCATGAGCACTTTTTTGTGTGAAAATTGTGGGGGCTTAATTTCAATGTCGAAATTATGGTTAGTAGGATTCTTTGAGTAGGCAAAGTGCTATGAAATCTTATCATTGACAAATGACAAAGAAATGCACATTGGGTTAGATTCTTGTAATTGTGAAAGATGAGCTATAATTCCGGCTAAATTCAAAGCCTATTGCTAGGATTGCAACAAGAGCATGAAAGTCATGGAGGAAAAACAAAACAAAAATAAGCTCGCCGACGAAATTAGATATCTCATAACTCAAATTTTTTTTCAAAAGTGTCATCATTTTTATTCCACGTTAACATATATCCAAAAAGTTTTAGGTCAAGTCACGTAAAGTTTTCTATTTGGCTGGCTCCCATGCATATAAAAGCCACCAAACCATGCTCTCATGTCCTCACTACCCAAAGCCCTTCAAATCTTAATTAATGCCTGCTAGCTATCATGTTCTCCTTAAGTCAGAAACCATCTTTCTTCTTCATGACCATCACAATATCTCTCACAATTTTGGCAGGTATAGCATCTGCATCTCGAACCTACCCAGGGCCAAATATACCCGATTCTAAAGGCAAAGGCGCTTCCGAGACGCCTGAAGCTGTGCATAGGGTGGTTCTGTCAGATTTGCAGCAGGTGACAGTGGCTAATTCTCATAATGTTGTTCTTAATAAGCGCCCTATCCCACCTTCTGGTCCAAGCCATAAGAGCAACAAGGCACCTAATTCCTCAGGGGATTTGTTAAGGCCATGAATGATTGTAATTAGTTACAGTTTTGTTTTGGGCCTGTGGCCCCATTTACCAAAGACGAACATACCCATGTTCCCGACGCCCAACGTGGTGTCTAAGAAAGGCCCATTTCGTTCAATCCTTTTATAATTTTTTTATTTATAATCTAGATTTTGAACAATTTGAGAGTTTAATTAGGAACTTATATCTAGATTTTGTTCAATTCTTTGCCTCTTTCATTTTTACTTGTAACAAAAGGAAATTTCATATGAAAAAGTAAATTCAATTGAAGTTGCCACGTGACAAAGAACCTTTTTTTTTTTTTCTTTTTTTTTAGTATAAGCACTAGTGGACTCAGAATTTTTTTCACGGATGTGCAATTTTGGGCAGAATGACTAAAGAGTTTAGAAGCTCAACAGACTAAATTAATGTTTGAATGGTAAAAGCCCACAACTAGTGGCGGAAACATATGTATGGCAGGTTAACTATGTAATCAAATTTGAAAAAAAAAAAAACTATATAATCTAAAATGAAAAAAAGAACTTTGATTGAGGGAGAGTTTATTTCATCTTTCGCATTACTTCTCTTTACATCACTTCAGACCCAATTTCAGGGCCTCCATTGCTCTCTCCCTCCATCTCTCTTTCTCTCCTTCCATCTCTCTTCAATAGCCTACACTCGCCCTTAAATGGATCTATCACTGTGCGCAGCACAACAAGCCTTGGTTTTGGTTGAGGCAATTCATCGAACAGGTTGAGTGCACCACCCAACCTCACTAGAGGGGCAAGATGCAAGGTCTACAGAGGCTATTCCGGCAAGGGGAGGTGCAGCACCTGCACCTCATTGCGCTTTAATAGGTTTGTCAGTGAGTATAAGCGATAGTCTAAACTAAAAAAGAAGGAGATTTCTCACACACACACAACTATAAGATGCAATGGAGATTTGAACTTAAGACCTTTTGTCTACAAGTTTTAAATTAGAATTCTTGCACAATTTCACATTATACAGTCACATGATATAGCTTATACATTTACTATAATATGGGTGGACGACATGATTCTATTTCCCCAATTTAAGGAAGAGTTTTTCAATAAAGATCAACTTATATATATTCAAATTATACAACGTGGCAGTTCGATTGTACTACTGTATAATTACGACCACACCGACACGTGAGGTCCAACTCCTGATTTAAAAGTCAAACCGTCAAAATATCTTGAGGTGGCGCTGCCTAACGCAGGCCGCTAAGTAACCAGTCAATGGGCATAAGCAGCGGGTGAGTTTGACAAATATTTGGAACCATATTCCTTGCACCCACATTTTTCTTTTGGTTTTTTTTCTCTTCTTATTATATATTTTAATTATTTAATTGGAATTGGAAACATAATTAATCTGTAAGCCCAAAACCGCAAACAGAGTCCTGTGAGTTTTAAATAAACGGCTGGGCGGTTTGTGGAGCCCTTGAGAGTTGAGTTGGTTTGGAAGAGCCAAAGTTGGTTTCCAGGTTCGATGTTCTTGTGCTTTTGATTAGCGATCACAATTATCAGCCCGACTTTGACAAAGACACAAGATTTGGTCATAGGGGTTAAACTTTTGCTAAGCACAATTAGCATATGCCATTGATCTCTTAAACCAAGTCGGGGTTTTCACATTGAGGGCTAAGAGGATGGTCCAAATGCACTAACTTGGCCCGGTCAATCAAGTAATTTGGTGTCAGTGTTCCAAGTATGTATATGGACTAATACCAAAAGATCCTTTAAAGATTTGAAGTCATTCTCAATATGAATTCCCGGATTTTAATTTCATCAATTTACTCATTTGAGTATATATATATATATATGTATGACTGAGATCTTAGTGCCTTAGTCTAATCAAACTGAAATTGAAAGTTAACAGATTTTTCTTGTTTTCCATTTACAAGTGAAGTAGACTTCACACAACATGACCAGAATGAGTCTGCTAAAGTTGGATTTTGACTTGTCAATATTCCTCTTCTTTTTTGGTCATTTTCCAAGAAAGGCGGAAAGGACTTGAGAAGCGACCTACCTTTGATCTTAGAATTTATGATGCCATGAGTTTGAAAGTTATTATGGGAGAAAATAAGAAAGAGGTGGACTCTGATATCTTGCTTATCTGGTCCTCTAGCTAGCTAGCTAGCTAGTCAATCTTGATGGTTGGAATATATATCTACATACCTATTTCTCATTCAACGGATGATTTTGTCTTTACAAGTAGGCACCTCTAAAACCTAAATTATATATCTTCCTTCAATTACGGACCTGACTGATGTCTTAAGTTACAAGGACATATATGTTTGGTAATCGATCACGTCCTTATAATGTACCCGCAAGTTTTGAGGTCATGCATTGATAGAACATAAACCCCCTTAAATTCCGACAATAATTTGTGGAATAACCTAGCATATACAAATTAAGTTTGAGCAAGAGATAATGATGTTCAGTTTAAATTGTTCTAGATAAAGTGAGAACTAGTGGCGGAGCCAGTAATTTTTCATATCAGCAAAAGGCTAAAAGCTTCAAAATAAAATTTACACAATTAACCAAATACCTTTAGAATTTAAACAATATTAATGTCATTCATAATAATAATAGCCACTTAAAGTTGGCAACATACCACCAATCATCCTTGCTTATTGTTAGTGTCACTTGTAAAGGAGATGTGATTGCTAGGATAGAATTAGGAAAATGGAGAATTTGAGGAATACGTCTAGGAAGAGGAAACGTGCGTCTAGAAAAAGATACTTTGTCAACATATAGTCTATTAAGATAGGTCGCGAATCGAGTTCTTTAAAAGAAGTATGTAATCAATTATAACATACGCCTTTTCAAATGATCTGAAGCATTTAAAAAACGGGTGAAATTATAATTAACATCACATACTCTTAAAAAGTATTATAAAATGGTTTTTTTTTTTCATCATTCGCTAGGGAAGGAGAGGGGAGAGTATTATATTAGGTTGCTTTAAGATTGTCTCCTATGTGAATCGAACCCGAATGCACTTGGGGAGTATTATAAAAGGTTAAAGTCACGTCTAAATTGAATTAAGCACATAAAAAGGTTTTGATCAATACCACATTGACGTCACTCCAATTAATATACTTTTGATGTAAAGTGATAATAATTTGTTATACCAATCAGGTGACGAGGTAATTCGACAAAGTTAACCAACTTCATCCTGTCAACAAATCCAAGTACAAAACCCATAAATTTGTGGTCTTAAGTAAACTAGCTAGCTAGCTAGGCACATTTTTCTTTTCTACAAAAATGCTATTTCTGAATTTTCTACTTGCTCATCTCATGAACGTGACCCATATGGATCTCATCTTCCTGGCAAATGCCATTTTTATTATCAGGAGGAGGAGAGCAACCAACAACTAGTCGGCTTGTGACGCTCCCCTAAAACGCGCTTTCGCTTTTGCGGCACCTTTTTTCTTTCACCACCTTGAGCCAAATGGCATGCCATTTCTGCATATCCTACGTTCCTTCCGCCATTCTTTTATTTATTTATTTAAAACAATATCTAAGAATATATTTGATTTTAATTCCAACATTCAACGAAAGCTTCATTGTCTTGTGTACCCACTTAATTTTTTCTTTTAAAAAAAATAAAAAAAACAAAAAAAAACTCTATTTTTGGACGGTTTTTTTTGGATGAACATGCTTAAATTTTTTGCTTTTTAAAGCCTCGAGAGTTAAAGATCCCTAACTCCACCACCAACTTCTGAAGAAAAACAGATACAGCTAGAAAGTTGAAAAATCATCAACAAATCTGGAGAGCTCTTAATTAGATGCCAGGTCAACCAGAGCATACAGGGAAATGTTGTTTAAGACTCTAGAGAGAGAGAGAGAGAGTAGACCTTTCTTTTTGAAAATTCATAGAACTATTTTCCTTAAACAAAAAGATGAACATATGTTACCAAAAAAAAAAAAAAAGAAACAATCTCATATCTAGCTATGAGAATTCTTGCATCTATATATATAAAGGGATTGTACAGATTGCAAAATGAATCCCAACCATAACTGTCTATACATTTCAAGTTCTGTTCTAAATTCTACATCTAACCCCAAGAAGAACCCAAAATTGTAGAGGGATTATAAAATTATTGAAACTAATGAAAAAATATAAGAATAATATTGCTGGTATATATGCTAGCAATGAATCAATGGCCAACACCGGGGCTGGGAACAGCCTGCGCCAGAATCCGATCGTTGCTGCTGAGATGGCGAGCAATGAGCTTCTCGTTGATGACGACGGCGTGGCCCTTCTTGCTGGGTGTAGAAGCGGGCACTGTGCCCTTCGGAAGGGCACCTAGAAACAGAGAAGCCACTCTCTTCCTGTACTGGCCATCACCATCCTGCTTCTTCATGTCCAAAAGCTTTCTGCTTTCTGAAGCTGCCGCAAATGAGGCCAAGACCACTAAGAAAATGATTGCCAAAGCGCTTAGACGAGGCATTCTGATTGATTCTCACAGATTAACAATCCAAAACAGAGAGAGAGAGAGAGAGAGAGAGAGAGTTTGTCCCTTTCGGTAAATGAGAGATTTGGGTTTGTGGGTTTTCACCAGAAAAAAATGGAAGGGGAAGGTTGAAGAATGCTATGGGGGAGTGGGCTCATTGGGTTAGGCCTGTATTTATAGCAAGTGGGGGGGGGGAGAGAGAGGGAGACAATATGTGTACCGCGTGGCGGCTAGAGAGAGACAGAGAGAGAGGTGCTTGGGGCTCAAGTTAGAAATAGAGGTGGCCAAGTCAAGATCAAGTTGGAATACAGAGAGGTGATGGGGGGGATGTAGGGTCAGATTAGTCAGAGCAATATGTGACATTAATTTCAAGACTAAAAAAGAGTGTTGAGAGAAGGCCGCGTGGAGGAATTGGAGGCTGGGTTTGGTTTGGTGAGTGTGAGTGTGAGCTAAGCCGCCGGCCACTGTTTCCCCCGTTTTCTTGGCAAGTTTCATCTCATAAAACATATGCACCGTCAAAATCTTCTTTCCTTTCCATTTAATGCGCTTCGACTTGGCTTGTGATTGGCTCATACTTGCGGCTCGCCAGTTTTATTTCTTTGAAATTGAATGAAAAGAGGAGGAATCAAATTTGAAATCTTTATATTTGAATGTGATGTTGATGAATTCAATTCAATCGTTTATTTATCTACAGTAAGTATTGAAATTATTTTATCGTTTACTTTTAAACACATAAAGAATAAAAAATGTAGTGAATTTTATTCGAGTTCATATCACCATTTCTTATATTACTTTAGAGTACTCGTAATTCGATACATGAAAAATTAGATTGACTGATGTAAGTAGTTAATTCTATATCAATTCATTCTATATCATATTCCTCACTTCCTCATTTTTCTCCGATATTCCTAACTTCCTTATTTTTCTCCAATATTCTTAACTTCCTCATTTAATAGGAGCGATAATGGAGGAAGAGGAAATCAAACACATGACCTCAAATGCAAGATAACTGCTCTACTTGCTATGAGCCTCTTGCCTAACTTCCCCATTTTGAGTAAGTAAATATGTCAAACTAGTCTTCCTATCTCATTCTTTTGAGTTATTGTGCGTGTAAATAAATAGCCAAGACAGGTTGGCATATTCTATTCATAACTCATCCCAAGTTGAAGTCTTAATTAGACACGTACGATCTTATCTCAGGCTATATGAAGAAATGCAAACCTTTATTACCACATATTCACACCAAACCTGATTTTAAAGAGAGAAATAAATATATATATTCAACATTTCCCAGCGGCTTGAACTGCGAAGCTCAGACAAGCCATTTTGTTTTGGAAGATGAAGGTGGAGCTGGGACGGTGGGAGGTCGTGGATAGGTAGAGAAAGTCAAAGCCGTGAAGTTGAAGAGTAAGATACAATGCAAGTGAGTGGGTCCCTCACAACGCAAGAAAACCATAATAGTGATAAGGTTTTTACGTGGAAAATGGGAACAACCTTTTCAATGGTCTCTTCGCTCACAAGTCACGACTCACATTGCAACCTTTTCAATGGTCACTTCTTTCTCTGTTTCTTTCCAACTGAAGTTTACAAATTATTGCATTTTTCTTTTTAATTCCACAAATACAATTTTAAAATTATTTTCACACAACAGTAAGTTTTGATAATTTGAAGTCATTCTGATGTGGATGTCTCTTATTTAATATGTGTGATATGTACAAGAACTTGTTCAATATATTTAAGTCGGCAAGATTCGACCAAACTTGGCTAGGTCGCAGCGACCTCCGGTGTACATATGATATTATGTAAGTATTTATGTGTCCTTTATATTTTACAAAATGATAGCCGAACCAATTAGGCACTGAATGAATCATATAGTTGATTAAGACGATCAAATTTAATTAAATATTTTCGATTTTGTTAATTAGCTCTAATCATAGTATAAAATATTGATAATATCGACGAAATATAGAGGATATTATCGTTTTTTCGGATTACGGATATTTCAGAACGTATCCATACACATATCGTATAAATATCGATAATATCGATGTTAATATCGAAAAATATTGGTGTCGATAATTTCTCTTATACTTCAACAATATTTTGTCAAAATATCACTATACTATCAAAAATATTGAAAATATCGATGTAATGAAAAAAAATGGGAAAAACACACAAAGCACACACTCAAAGGGGATTCAAACCCTTGCTATTTCACTCATCTAACACCTTAACCACCATGTTGTTTATGTTTTTGTGATAATATGCTAATATGTATATTTATATTGTTTTGTTTTGAACTGTTTTTGCAAGAATCATATTTTCACATGAGAATGTGAGTCTTGAACCTTTCTTTTTGGGAAGGAATCGAGCGGCTCATGGAAAGAATTTGAGATCTAATCTTTAAATGATTTTTCTTATGGACAATGTCAACCAATCTCGAATTCATATGGGTGACATGTTAACAATTACATGCAACACTATTTTGGGAATTTATCATTTGATGACTATTCTTCACAATACACATTCTCTACATATAGAAATGATGAAGATAGTGAAAATTTTGAACCTCATAGGGACTCTATGTGGTACTAAATCACTTATATATCTTACAATGCTATGTATAAAGTGTAAAATATTGTAGTAAATCATTATATTTAAATGATTATGATGTGTTTAATCTTTTTTCATTAATTACTACATATTTTCTACACTCACAATATTTATCAGCTCGCTATATAATCAACTTAAATCAGTTAAACCCATCATGCAATGCATTTCCTTCCATTTTTTTGTGATAAACTAATAAATAACTGACTGAATAAATATCCTCTAAAGTTTCAATAAAAAATTTCAAATTTTTATTACAATTTTCTGGTTTTTATTCAATTTTTATTGATATCGATAATATCCCGATATTTCCATCGAAATATCCGTATTTTTGGACAATCGATATTTCCGATACCATCGATATTTTAGACCTTGGCTCTGATACGCAGTTTTGTAAGATGTAGAGGCCATGGAATATAATATGCTTTGGGTAGCTATCATGTTATTATGCAAACCACCATATATAACAAGATTATTTATTTTATAATAAAATTTGTGAATAATAATTGAAAGAAATAATCTAATTCCGTCACTCTGAATCTAATTCCGTCACTCAGTCTGATCTAGCTTTTGTTAGCAGCCTAAGGTCAATGAAATATGCGAGACGTAGACAACAGTCTCTTCAAATTTAGACTCACAAAAGCTAGCTACTTATTATTATAATTTATATTAACGTTGTTAAGAAAACTCGACTTAATTAATTATTAATTAAGAGAATCGTGAGATTTGGATGCATGTAATCTAACAATTAAGTCTTAATTCATTTTTATTAAACTGCACTAACAACTAGGCTATTGAGCAAGAGAGTTGACCTTTCTGTTTAATATTATAATTTAGGAATGATCAATGGTCACGTATTGCATTTGTAATTGGCCCCCACTTTATTTGAGCTACGACAAAGTCAGCAACTACTCTCAAATGAGACACCACTAGATTAGATGGATCATCAAATTAATTAATAATATTACTTTTTTCTTCTTTTGTAACAACCCCTTACGGGTCTAATTAGTATAGCATATCACATGAACCGTTTCTTTGGTTTTTGTAGGACCATTTTTCCTTTGTTAAGTTTCATATATTTAAGTTAATCAAAGTCTTTCTTTTTTTATATACAATCGATTAGTCTAAACTGCTATGACCAACTAGCCTAACTCATATTTGCATCTTTCGATCTTATATATGATTTTTCATGCATGCATGATTCACAATAGGAATCAAACAAGAAATTAAAATCAGAACCACCGGCGGCCTCCCATGGCCAGTTTTGATTGTGCCCATTGCAGACAAAACCATGTAAATATTGTTGACTTAAATTCTAGCTACCATGCATATATAAAACAATATATGCATGATTTGCCTACACTATGCAAAAACATAAAGCTAAAACGCAAAGAGAAAGAAAGTCACAGTATGTGCTGAATTTTCTGCATTGTCGGCATAGATAGAAGAAGTTGTAGGGCAGAAGGTCAACAAAATGCCCTCAAATCATTCACCCATGTCAGCTGCTCAGGTGTCTTCCATTATCCATAGACAAGATTTATCTGCTGCCAAGGCCGAAAACGCTTATCTTGTCTGGGACCATCCCTCATGAAGTTTCAATCCACACGAATATAAAATTAATAGAGTTTTTTTTAGTCATAAGATATGAATGCCATTTATTAATATTCCATTTCCATTTGCAAAAATTCCAAGTATACTTTTTGCCGGCAAACTACTTGTGGGTCGCAGAATTGTACCATTTTGACTCATAATATGACAATATGCGGAAATAGAAGCCAAAATTTATACAATTGTTGCAACAAAAACGTGCCACATTGAGCCATATGTGAAACGTATTGCTGTTAAAAAGGTCTGTGTGAGAATTTTACAACAAAAAAAAAGGAAAAAAAAGAAAGAGAAGTTGATGTTTGTGCTGCATTTTCGAGGAAGGTACGTGCTGGCATTTGAAAATTGAAGAAGATGACATGCGGGTACGGCCGTGAACGCTATGTTGTTTCTTGCTAAATAAAAGCAACCCTTAAGACGTGCATTATTTTCAATTCTACGGTCATTTTTTCTTCTTTGTTTAATTTTTTTTGCTTTAAAGTGCTCACACGTTACGTTTGTTGTCTCTTTTCGGAACATTGAAAACTCTCGGTCAATAAAATAAAAATAAAAATATATTTATTTACTTCATCTTGAAGTCTAAATCTGTATGAATGGGGAAGGGGGCAAAGACTAGCCAGACATCACGTGAAATGGAAAGGTCTCATGCACATTCAACTCAAGTGTCATTCTCATGCACTTTGAATTTGTATCAAGGGAATTGGAAGCCCCTTCGTAGCTGAACTATGCTCTATGGGCTTTGGCCACTGGGTCACCTGGGCTTGTTTTATTTTCATGCAGATGTGGATCACTTGGGCCGTTCCATTTCATGTAGGTGCTTCATTGTACCCTGGGTTACAGGGATGCCATAATGACTGGCTTCTTAATATCAGTTCAATGAAGTGCAAAGTTATTATTCGATTGCTGGAATAAACCCTTATTTTAGTCCTCAACATAGCCTCTCATTTTAGAAGCTAGTGAATTAGGCTAGTTTCAAAAGTTCTCTGGTGTGGGATCGTTGTGGAATGTGAGTGGTAGAAAATCTCTTCATTATAAGGTTACTGTGATTAGAGTAATTAAATAATGTCTCTTACTTGAATGGTTAAAACTATTATTAGTATTTGACACTAACCCGTTGCTCATTGGCATTTTGTATGTGATCGACCGTTAAAATTACCAGCATCACCGCAGAGTATAGCAAGCAACGACCCAACAAAAGTGTGCATAGAATAGGAGGCCACGTCTAAGTTCAGGGACTGTCAGTAGTAGTTTATGCTGTTTACTATTGATCCTTGTGTTGTGTATGTGTGGTCAGTATTCACTCTTACTCAAATATCAGACGTCACTTTATTAAGCAACCAGTTCAGATAAATACCCAGAGAAGAGCCTGGAACTCTGTTTCCAAACTCTTTTTGGCAATGGAATTTGGTGTCATTAAGCTATCTTCGCCTCTGTCTTCTTCAGCTCTCAATCTCCAGGTAACCCCCATGATTTTTCACATGAATTGTTGTTTAAAATTATGTTCATAGCCAGTCAGACTACCTAATTTGGGAAGGGGGTTTTAAAGTTGCAATGGTTTTGTTGTGTGATTTTCTTTCTAAGCAGGGTTTTCCCCAAATGAATTTCAGTTTGTGGTTGGTAAATGAGTAAGTGAAAAATAATTAATTTGTTCTGTCTTGTCTTGATTATGGAATGCTTTGGTTCAAGTGCTCAACTAATTCCAATGAGCAATCAAAACCAAATTACACTGTTACTCATTTACTCTGCATTTCTGGGAGAAATAAGTGGGAGTTTCTTTTGTTCAATTGGATGCTAAGCTTCATTTAACTCAGCCAAGCCTTGAATTGTGCTTATAATCCTTTGTGATAAACAAATTTACTGCAGGAGAATTAGCTATTAAATTTTGAATTCTGTTGACTTAATTACTTGATGGCTTGACATTGCAGGATTTTTCATCACCTGTTGGTAGGAATCATTTAAAAAAATCTTTACATCCTCAGTTCCTGTCCTCTCCACTTCCTAAACCCTTTCTTCAACTTAATGACAGAATCTCTCCCCAAGAACGTATCGAAGATCCATATCAGCAGAAGCTGGAAAGCAGAGTTGGGACTTGGGTAGATTTTTGAAAACAATATTTTTCTTCAACGAACCTCCCTCTCCTGCTAAGGTTGGAAAGTACTAAAATTTTCGAAATTATCTAAAAGTGAAAAGTGATCATGTCTCAACTAACAACAGTTTGTTATTTGTGAAGTTCTTTGAGTTTGTAAGTGAGAAACTATCCAGCCCATCACCTAGTAAACCAGAAAAGAAAATGGAAACTTCTGGCATTGTCCTAGTGGCTGGGGCAACTGGTGGTGTAGGGCGAAGGGGGGTCGCCGCCTTAAGGAAGAAAGGGCTTCCGGTCCGAGTATTGGTATTCTGCTCTTACCATTTCCCTTTACACTTGTTCCTTTCTCGAATTTCTATGTTTTCATATAAACTTCTCTCAGGTTAGAAATGAAGAGAAAGCAAGGAAAATGTTAGGCCCGGATGTTGACTTGGTAAGCTAGCAACCCATGTATCTTCAATTTCCTTGATGAAAACTAGTTATGTAATTCCTACTTGATTATGCTTCTGTCCATGCCCAAATTATTTGTTTATTAACTGTCACATTTAGATTCCATTTGTTTGTCATAATTGTAAAAGAATTTATGGTGGTTTCATTTCTTATTTTATGTCGTCAATGGTGACCCTGGTTTCTTCCTGGAAAAATTTCAGATTGTTGGAGACATTACTAAGGAGAGTACTCTGGTTCCCGATTACTTCAAAGGAGTGAGGAGAGTGATTAATGCTGTTTCTGTCATTGTTGGTCCAAAAGAGGGTGACACTCCTGACAGGCAAAAATACAGCCAGGTATGTTCAAAACATTTTTAAGTTGAAAAAACTTCATTTTTTAACTTCTATGTTTTGCAAACTTGGACTGCCATGGGCTTCCCACGCCTGCAATATATTCCACAATTATTTTTTTCTGTCTTAAGCAGCTTTGACATTCTGTTATGTTTTGTACAGGGAATCAAGTTCTTTGAACCAGAGGTAACGAACTGATTGCTTACATTCTATATCTGGAGTAGCATTTTCTCGAAAGTTTAACTTGGAACTTGAATTTTTACCTCATTTGTTTTGTGTGTGTAATAAAATGTTCTTCTTAGTAATTATGAATCATTGCATTGGTTGATTGATGGAAGCAGATCAAGGGAGATTCACCTGAAAAGGTGGAGTACATTGGAATAAGAAATTTGATCAAGGCTGTAAAAGGAAGCGTTGGACTTCAAAATGGAAAACTACTATTTGGTTTTGAAGGTACACTCTTCTGTATGCTGAAACCACTGATTTCCATCCTTTCTGCTGTGTTATACTTGGTCCAGTCGTTCTTGTACAAATAATTGGGAAATAAATAAAAACTCTTTTGGAAAAGGTAAAAAACGGTGGAGAATTTAGGTTAATATGAAATATAGTATGGAAAGCAAATGCAAAGAACCTTCATAAAAAAACATGTTATTCTGCAGTCCATTATACTTAACATGCTAGGGAACACGCTCGAACTTTTCATACATGGAACCTAACTGAAATCATCAATCCTCATATTCTATTAGGTGAACAATATATACCATTTGAGATTCTTTTCTTTGTTTGTAATTTGCAGATAATAATTATAGGGAATTGGCTTGGGGTGCTTTAGACGATGTTGTGATGGGTGGAGTGAGTGAAAGTACATTTCAGATTGATCCAAACGGTGGTGAAAATGGTGGACCAACTGGAATTTTTAAAGGTATGATATTTTCAAACTTTAGAACTGGTGTCTTTGTACTGCGTTCTCACTGGTGATTCTATTAGAACTATTCATATTTGGATTGGTTTAGTTGAAATTTATTTATTTGGTATGTCTCTTCTCCTTCAGGGGTTGTTTCCACTGCAAACAATGGTGGTTTTACCAGTATCAGAACAAAGGTAAAGAGCAACGTTTTCTAGTGACTTGTAAATATATTGTGCATAGAATTTTTTACTGTTCCCTGTAGTTGGTCAGTTGCTTATTGTCTAGTGATGAATATGCTTGTATCTAGAATCTATCAACAGCTGAGGATCTCTCTGCATATGATGGTTTGGAGCTGCGCCTTAAAGGTGACAGTCGTCGCTATAAACTAATTGTTCGCACAAGTCGTGATTGGGATACTGTTGGTTACACAGCAGGCTTTGACACTGTTGGAGACCAGTGGCAGACAGTAAGTAACACACTAGCTCCTTAATCGACATTAAAATTGTAGTTACATATCTCAAACTCCATAATAGTAATCTGTCTCATTTTTTCCAGGTACGTGTGCCATTTTCTTCGTTGAAGCCGATATTTCGAGCAAGAACTGTATCAGATGCGCCACCTTTTGACCCCAGCAATATTGTGTCATTGCAGGCACATTTCTGCAGCCACTTTCTTTTAGTCTATTCTTTCACTTCATTTTCTTCTATGTTTATTGATGGGATTCAAAATTATGGCAGCTCATGTTCAGCAAGTTTGAATATGATGGGAAACTGAATCCTACTTTTGTGGAAGGGGCATTTAAGGTCCCATTATCAAGCATAAGAGCATATCTAAAAGAGCCTATTACTCCCAGGTTTCACATTCATTTCATTTTGTTGGATTATCTTCTTATGACTAAACATAATTGATCTGCTAGGTGCACTTTCTGTTTGTCTTTAAAGAATCTCTTTGCTTGTGTTCCGTGTAGGTTCGTACACGTAGGTTCTGCAGGAGTTACCCGACCTGACAGGCCTGGACTTGATCTAAGTAAACAACCTCCTGCTGTTCGCTTAAACAAGGAATTGG